AAAGTATATGTGAACTGCTGTATGAAAAGTGAATTTACTCTGTAAATCTTCACCCAAATCCTAATAAAAAAAAAAAAAAATTTCATCTTCAAAAAAGGTACTTTTTAAAGCAAACTTTTTCTTCTATTTATTTATTAGCCTTTTATTTTGAAATAATTTACAGCTGAAAAAAAAACCAGTATACCCATCTCTCACTTCTGCGAGATAATCTGTAGACTTTATTCAGAACTTGTCAGTTTTCCCTCTAATGGCCTTTTTTCTTATCCAGGATCTAGGATCACATTTCATTTAGTTGTCACATTTCTTGGGTCCCCTCTAATCTGGACAGTTCTTCGGTCTTTCTTTGTCTTATTTGACCTTGACATTTTTGAAGAGTTGTAAGTATTCAGTAGAATTTTCCCTTAACTAATGCTTGCTTATGATTACATTGAAAGACACTGTGATGGTATAAGTAGGTAAGATATTAGGCTCCTAAACTGACAGTTGGCAGTTCAAATCAAGCAGCTGGTCTGCAGGAGGAAAATGAGGCAATCTACTTTCATAAAGATTTACAGTCTTGGAAACCCAGTGGACGTTGCTTTGAGTCAGAATTGACTTGATGACGGTGGGTTTGGTTTGCTTTGGGTTTTATTATTACATTAAAACGTGTGTATGGAGCAAGAGTACCATAGAAGTGATGCTGCATCACTTCTCAGTGTATCCCATATTAGGTGCCACATGATGATGATGTTAACTGATGATGCTCAGTTTGTAGCAGCTTGATAATACAGAAAGCCTGTCAGATTTCTTCATGATAAAGCTATTGTTTTTCCTTTCACAATTAATAACTATCTTGTGGGGCAAAAAGTATGAGGCTATATAAATATCTTGTTCTTAACATGCTTTTACATGCTAGCTCTAGCATTCATTGATGTGTTTTAACTGAGACAGACACTCATTATAGTGGTATTTACCAGTTGGTAATTTTATGTCAGTTATTTTTCATCATCTGCAATTCTATACTTGGCATTGTGGTAAACTTCCTATTTAGAATCATAGAATAATGACATTTCAAAGAACTGCATGAGAACACTTTTGGATAATCATGTCATATTAGAGTTAGAATAGGTCTCATAAAATATATTGAAAAACTTTCATTTTTTGAAATTTTTTTAAAAAGTAACACTGCATTCATTTCATCTAGATTAGAACATGGCTACTTAAAGATGGTATGTGAACTGGTACTAGCTCACAAATTTCTTCTTATTTTTTTGCTAAGTTCAGAAAATAAGTGCTTAGCAAGTGTACAGTTTTATATTGTCAAAACATTTATGGTATTTTACAAAAGTACTAATCCCCAACAGATTGGAAATTTAAAAATTTTATCCTTTACCTCTGACAGTTTGACAAATACTGGTCTTAGAAATGAATTCAAAAGCTGAGGTGTCTAAAAGAACTGTTGAATTTACCTATCATGATGGTAGGTAGTCATATGTTCTTCTACGTTCCTAAAGACTTACCTTTACGGTGACCAGGCCACTGGGTTGTGTGAAGGAAGAAGGTTGAGGAAAGGACAAGTAAATAAAGATGAGAAAAATAGGAAGATAGATAAAAGAAAGAGAAAATGTTCCATTATTTTTGTGGTAGACAAGACTGCTCTCAGCAGTTACTTTAGATTTCATTCACTGAGATATCTAATGGAGATTTTTCACTTAACTCTATTTTAAGATTTGCTTTAATCCTAGTTGATACTGTATATGAGCCAACCCAATCTGTAGACTAGCATTCAAAAAGTAGTGCTTCTCTTTATGTGAGAGAGACGTAAAGAATGTTAAATGGGGTGGTTTTTTTGTGTTTTGTTTTTTTGCATTTCATGTCCTTAACATTGTTATATAGAGAAGGCACTAATTTTTAGAAATGTTAAGAGAAGGAAATGAAGGTAAAGCTATTCAAGGTAGTTAGCAGTTATAGTGGCAGATGAAGAAAAGATGAAAAAGAGATTGGTGGGGATGTGCTTCTGTTTGATTCACAGGGATGTTGATGTATATTTGCTGCTTAGTTGATAATTACTTTTAAATCTGCAAAGTATACATTAATAGTAATAGTAGTAATGATATTAATTATTATGACTTGTGATTTTGATGATTGTTCATTTTCTAGGAATACAAGAGTTTCCAGAAAACATAAAAAATTGTAAAGTTTTGACAGTTGTGGAGGCCAGTGTCAACCCTATTTCCAAGTAAGTGCTCTGCATTATAAATTAACTTTTCTGAATAGAACAACTATGAACCGCTAATAAAATAATACTGTACATATTTTAATGAACAATTTGTATTAACTTCAATCCATAAAAATGCCAGATTTAAAGTAAAAAAATTAAAATTTAAAATAATTTTTTAAACCCTTACTTAGAAATGTATACATTAAGATTTAAACAGATGGTGTGTTTTGCTCCTGATTTCACAGATAATTAAAATCAGAAATAAGACTAGACTCCAGGTCTTCTTGTTCTATGTCATTTTTGTACAATATAAAAAGGTCTTTGTCTATAATTCAGATGTGTGGCCCACTCAGCCTTCTGAAAATTATTTTAAAAACTGCAAGGTCAAGAATGCAAGGAAAAAGAAAAACCAAGTGAAGTTGTATGTGTTCATTTATGATGGTAATGTCTAGAAATAAAGCTATGATGGTTGTTAAAGTTTTTGACAATGAAGTGCTGAAGAGAAATATGAATAGAATAAAGCATAACATAGAATATACCTAAGTTGAGAGTTGAAATCATCCTCTGCTATATATTTTTTTAAATAAATTTTATTGAAATATAATTTATGTACAGTGAAATACATATAACTGAAGTGACATGGGTCAATACATTTTTTTTTTTTTTTTGCAGTGTTCCTTCCTCTCCTCCCCTCCCTTCCCCTCCACTCCCCTCCCACCCTGGTAACTAACAGTTATCATCCATATACAAACCTTTCCTTGACTTTTTACAATAATGAATTAATACTGTATTTGTCTTTCTGTGATCGACTTATTTTACTCAGCATAATGTCCTCCAAATTCATCCATACTATGTGGTGTTTTGCAGATTCTACATGATTCTTTAGTGTTGCATAGTATTCCATTGTGTGTATGTACCATAGTTTAGTTATCCATTCTTCTGTTGATGGGCACGTAGATTGTTTCCATCTTTTTTGCTATTATAAATAGTGCTGTGATGAACATAAGTGTGCATATATCTGTTCTTGTCCTGGCTCTCACTTTTTTAGGATATATACCTAGTAACGGGATTGCTGGGTCAAATGGCATTTCTAATTCCAACTTTTTAAAGGAATTGCCATACGGCTTTGCACAGTGGTTATATCATTTTAGTGTCACCAGCAGTGCATGAAAGTCCCCATCTCTCCACATCCTCACCAGCATTTATTTTCTGTCTTGTTGAACTTTGTCATTAGTGCTGGGGTGAGATGGTATCTCATTGTTGTTTTGATTTGTATCTCTCTGATGGCTAATGATCATGAGCATTTCTTCATATGTTTGCTGGCTGCCTGAATATCCTCTTTGATGAAGTGTCTATTCATGTCTTCTGCCCATTTTTAAATTGGATAGTTAATCTTTTTGTTGTTCAGGTGTTGGAGTTTTCTATAAATTTTTGAGATAAGTCCTTTGTCAGATATGTCATTGCCAAATATTTTTTCCCAATCTGTAGGTTCTCATTTTTACTCTTTTAGCAGTGTAATTATTGACAGATGTGAATTTGTTGCTGTCATTTTGTTATGTGCTTTTTTGTGGTATTGCTGATTTCTTTGTTCCATATTATTTTCTGTGCTGAGCTCATTTTGTTTATGAATTGTATTTTCACTTCCTTCTTTACTATTTTTTCAGGATTTGTGCAGGTCCTCTTTTTTATTTTAATGTGAAAGTTTATAATTTTTCTTTGAGGTTACCCTATGACTTACAGTTTTCTTCCCAAATTTACAACAGTCTGCTCTATCTTATAGTCTTGACTTCCCTACCATTTAGAAGTTCTGTAGCTGTACATTTTTTTCCCTATTTTTGGTTTGTAGTTGTCCTCATTTGCCAATCAGTGTCTCTGGTTCCCTATTTACAATCTTGTAAG